GGAGTCCTTTGCGCCTTCCGCGGTACCTGCTGTTGGGCAGTCTGTGTCACACTCCGGAGGCGTATCGATTGGCAGTGGGTTGCTCACTGTTGTCCACATTGTTTGATCACCATAATCTATAATCGCGCCGAAGCGATTTATAAAATCCTGGCCAACCAAAAATGGGAATGAGTCAACATGAGTCACGTGTACCGGGTGGTACAGTGTCATATTGCCAATCTGCATGTGAACCATTGCTATAGCTGTCAGGGTTGTTTTCATTTCTGAGAGACCCTGCATTTCTATAGCACATTCAGAGAGAGGTATTATCCTGTTAACACTGGCAGCGGCCGTCCTCAGCTCCTCGAACAGTTTAGCTGACATGATTGTTATGTCTGCCCCACCGTCCAAGAGTGCTTCGTGTGTGAGGACACCTTCGAGTGTTACTGACAGGTACGCCTTTCTGGCGACCCCCTTTCTGATAAAGTTACACAGAAACCTCTTGGGTTTTTTCTGACGCTTTTTCACGCGTTCAGCCTTATCTGTGTAATTTTGGTTTGTCTGAACCGTCAGCACAGCAGAAGCTGTTTCTGAGTGTTCAGCCTGCGATGACTCGTCATCGTTCGTGTGTGTGTTTACCCCCCCTTTCTCTGATGAGGGGTTGTTTGAGGCAACAACAGTTATGTCCTGGTGTGTTCCACCGACACCTGTTATGTTGTCATTCGCGCCCTCAGATGTAATGGGAATTACATTACTGCAAAGTGCTCCTGGTTGGGTTCCCGTGTCAGTGTGTTTCAAAGTTTCTAACAACCTGCGTAGTTTCTCTGTCTCTTCCGAGCTCAGAGGTGTAGGGCCTTGTTTCTGGAACTTTTGTGATTTTTTCGCCTCGGTTCGTTTCATCCGAGGTGGGGGACGGTCAGGTACGTCTTTCGGGGTTTCCTTTACGTACTGCCCCTGCTGATATGGTTTCTCATATCGTTGCGTCCTGCGCCCACCCCTTTTTCGATAATCACTGTCGTCCTCTGAAAGAGGAGCCTTTCTGTCCCAGCGTGCACCTTCAGGACGCGGTTTGTTAGCTTGAACAGACTGTTTTCTCTCTTTCTTCTTAGGAGGAGGCGGCGAAGCACGTCGTCCTTCTAGTTCAAGAGGGAGGGGTTTAACCTTTACACTAGGAAACACTTCTATGGGCGTCTTAGCATGAGAACATGCTTCAAACACATTCACAGCACACTGTTTAATCTCACTGATGGATTTTTCTCTGAAATTTGCCATCATTTGTATTGATTTTTTTAAATCAGAGTGGAGATTTTTGCTGAAAACAAACTTAAAACCATCATCTTCTTCCATTCCGGTCTCATTTCTGTTACCAAAATAGGCTTGGAAGATTCTTTTGTAATAAACCTTTGGATGTTCATTCTTGCCCTGCGTGACCTTGTCTGCAGCTGGAAAACCAGCAGGTCCCGTGCAGGGGTCGTACTCTCTGATCAAAGCTTCACACAGAAGGTTGTAATCCCTCTTCGTTGCATCAGGTAGACGCTCGATGAAGGTGAACACCTCTCTGTCTGAAGTGAGCCGCATCAGACTTATCTTATCGTCTACCGTAGCATTAGGATAAGACCTCAATCTGAACTCCAGATCTTTGAGATACGCTTTTGTTCCTGCTGACCCCATAGGCCCGGGAACAAAGCGTTGTACATATTTTGAGATTTTCTGCAAATCATCCATTGAAGGAGACCGTATCACCGGTCTAACTTGTGTGACTGGTGGTGCAGACTGGTCAAGGCCTGCCCCTACTGCCCATGGTGGGGGTGGGGGTGGCTGATAAGGGTTGGTAGGAGGAGGTGCATATTGGTGCAGGTTTGTCCCCACCCTCCGAGATGGGGGTGGAGGTGACTGATAAGGGTTGGTAGGAGGAGGTGCATATTGGTGCAGGTTTGTCCCCACCCTCCGAGATGGGGGTGGAGGTGACTGCCTGGTGTCAGGAGGAAGAGGTGCATACCGGTGCAGGTCTGTCCCCACCACCCGAGATGGGGGTGGAGGTGACTGCCTGGTGTCCGGAGGAAGAGGTGCAAGTGGGTGCAGACCCGTCCTTATCCCCCGGGTTGGGGGTGTTGAAACGGGGCTAAGGGGAGGAGGTGCAACAGCATCTGTCTGGGGCGGTTGTAGCTGACCCCGTTCGATTCTCAGATCAGCTTGCTCCATTACAGAAATCCATTCTGTAGCTATAGCTAAATTCTCCTCACAAGCTGCCAGACGCTCATTTGTTGACTGATTTTTACCTTGTAAAGTCAGCCAACTCCGGGTTATTAACTCCTTGTCTGCCTTGCAATCGTCCAGCTCCCTTAATCCGGCCTGCACCTGTGCTTGTAACATATCGTTATCTGCACACGCGTCTTGGTACGCTCGTTCCTTATCCGCAATCTTCTCCTCATATGATCGAGCCTGTTCTGACAGCTCTCTCTTTGAGAGGTCCTTATCAGTTTGAATCTTTTGTTTCAGCAACTCAGAGTCATTTATCAATTTGGCACACCCCACCTCATGTGACTGAGCCTGTTCTGACAGCTCTTTCCTTGAGAGGTCTTTATCAGCCTCAATTTGTTGCTTCAGCAACTCAGATGCAGTCAACAATTCGTCACACCTCTCCTTTTCAGACTGATATCCGTTGAACAGCAAGGTATTTCGTTCAACCAGACTGTCCAGTTCCGCCTTCAGAAGCACAGAAATTTTTGCCAACCGTTCACGGCTGGACTTCGTGTCCTCCTTCACTTCACCTTGACGTAGGCCTAGTCCACTACACAATCAGATTGCCATAGATTGAAACTTTCATTCTGCTCACTGCTTGGAGCAATCGTCTAATCAGCTTCATTTTGCTGCACTCCCCGGCGAAATGTAGCTTATTTGACCATTGAAGTGCATTTATTAAGTAAAAGTTCAACTGAGCCACATGTTTACTATAAATTCAAGCAAACAAATAATTGTTTTTAGGTGGTTATCTTGTTAAATTTCGAAGAAATGCACAGCAAGTCACCCTCTGCGTGTTCATGTTTCCACATATTGGTTTTTGAAACTGCAGCTGATTTTACTGTCAAAGTGCATATATTAAGGAAAAGTTAGACTGAGGGACATCTTTGCTATAATTTCGAGTAAACGTATAATTGTTTTTAAGTGTTAATCTTGTAAAATTCTTGTTAGAGTCCTCCAATGCACGTCCTAGTTGCCACTATTTGGCAGCCAGTCGATTTTTGGCACAACACTGGCCCACATTTCTTGGTTGCCAGCAGTGACGTGTAACAAACATGACGCGTCAGCGGTGACGCATAATAGATGCAACGTATATAGCGATGAGACGTATATAGCATGAGACGTATATAGCGAT